TGAGAGAGACGTCAAACAAACAATCGAACAAACAGACATTATCAAGCACAATGCTGGAACTGATCACAAACATTCCTGTGCAATAACTGGAGTGTAGCTGAGAGAGACGTCAAACAAACAATCGAACAAACAAAGATTATCAAGCACAATGCTGGAACTGATCACAAACATTCCTGTGCAATAACTGGAGTGTAGCTGAGAGAGACGTCAAACAAACAATCGAACAAACAGACATTATCAAGCACAATGCTGGAACTGATCACAAACATTCCTGTGCAATAACTGGAGTGTAGCTGAGAGAGACGTCACACAAACAATCGAACAAACAGAGATTATCAAGCACAATGCTGGAACTGATCACAAACATCCCTGTGCAGAGCTCTAGCTAAGCGGTAGAGTAGCCTAGTGGTTAATGCGTTCATTCGTCATCCTGAAGACCCGGGTTCGATTCCCCAAATGGGTATGATGTTTGAATCCCGTTTCATATGTCCTCTTTGTCTTTTTCCGCATTATGTTCCCCTGTGCCCAGTCCCTTCTGCAATGCTAAAGCCCTAAATGAAGCAAGTCTAGATATTCAGGAATCTCCCTTCTGACTTGGGCACCTTTTTAATTTATAAGTTGTTTGTTTCTATCAAGATAAGTGCAGACAATGAGAACAGTAAGTCACCATAACCCAATTATTCTTGCTTATGTCTTCTGCTAGTATCATAGTAACTCTACTGCAGGAAATTAAAGACTGACTGACTGTTTTAGTTTTACGCCGCTTTTAGCAATATTTCAGCAACATCACGGCGGGGGACACCTAAAATGGGCTTCACACATTGTACCCATGTGGGGATTCGAACCCGGGTCTTCGGCGTGACGAGCCAACGCTTTAACCACTAGGCTACCCCACCGCCCCCAGTAAATTAAAGAAATGAAGGACAACGTGCAGCTTGGTGCAAGTGGGGCTGTAACACTGACGTGTGGCAACCCGATACCTGACACACTCCTCACACCTCAAGGACGGATACAGGTCTGCAGTCACCTGAAACGGGGGTTTCAAACAGAAGTTCAGTAAAACGCCATTGTGTCGAACTGACCGTTGTCGAAAAGTAAACCTTGGTCCGTGTCAATATCCATTGTACTCAAAGTGTTCACAAAATGTGAGATAATACTCAGTAGTTATAATATTATCTGGAGCCATGTCTATCATCATCATCATCATCATCATCATCATCATCATCATAAAAACGTTTCCAGTCCAAAAGTACTGCTCAGTAGCGATCTCCGAACAACTAAAGAATGAAAAGTTAGACACTGTATGTTTTCTTAAAAGGTATGTCTTCAGTTTAGATTTGAAAATCTTCAGGTTGTTAATTGTCCTTAACTCCAGTGGAAGTTGATTCCAGAGAGTGGGTCCCGCCACCTGAAATGATCGATTCCCAAACCTTGTACTGGACGTAAAGTGTGGGACAACAAGAAGAGCAAGATTATCAGATCGGAGTCTTCGGTTGGGCTGATATCTGGTGATCAGGTCAGATAGATACTTTGGAGAGAGGTTACTGAGACATTTGAAAACAAATTGGTTGAGTTTGTATTGTGAAAGATATGGCAGTTCAACATTACCAATTAAATGGTCAGTTCATTTACCGTATTTGCTCTCAAACGGTGGTGTTGTGTGACAACTGGACATGCTCAGTTTCATCTCTTTGCTGTGCCAGGATCCAGGGCTTATTTTGATTATGATCGCGGAGAAGTGATGATCCCAGCTACAAATTTAGTATTCTGGCTCTAAGCTGAGAATTTGAACCTTAAACAATCACGAACACATATTATAAGTTATCACATCGTGTCGAGGGAAATACGGGGTTTTATCCTCCGGCTCGGGGAATACAACATTACGAGGGACTGATAAAACCCCATATTTCCCGAGACACGATGTGATAACGCATTTATCTAGCCGAATGTTTTTACTAAATCAAAAGAAAACAATACGCATCAATTTCATTCTCAGTTGTGGCAACACGTTTCCGTGCTGCCATGTTGACAACAGCTGATCGATTGACCTCAATGCAGCGCACGGTACTAAAGGCTATGCACGCTTTTCTCACTTCGCGTGGTCACCGAGGCGTGGCGGGATGATATGACTTTTGTACTCCCTGCTCGCGGATCGTGACGGGTGTACATGGTATTTTATCAGAGTCACGTGAACCAATCAAAACTCGACATTCTTACATGAGGCTGGATAAACATATGTTGTACCATTGTAAACGCTTACATGTCGAAATGGCTCAAAATAAAAACGAAGAACAGGCTAAGCTCAAACATTTTAAGTTGGTTAACTGACTGACTGAGTTTGGTTTTACGCCGATTTTAGCAATATTCCAGCAACATCACGGAGGGGGACACCAGAAATGGGCTTCACACATTGTGCCCATGTGGGGATTCGAACCCGGGTCTTCGGCGTGACGAGCTAACGCTTTAACCAGTAGGCTACCCCACCGCCCCAAAGGTGGTTAACAGTACAATAAACAAATAGAACTGCTAACAGAAATAGGTTGAGCAGTGATTCCGAATCTAAAATCGGAAATACAAGTCCAGCAAGCAGGTGTATACTACCCACGGCAGCACATACATGAGCCGTGACTAAACAGCGGTATACACACTCCGACATCACAAGCAGAGCAATGAGCGGAGTTCCAGGGCCAGACATGGATGAGGATGTGGGCGGAGCTCCAGGTCAAGGCATGGATGAGGATGTGGGCGGAGCTCCAGGTCCAGACATGGATGAGGATGTGGGCGGAGCTCCAGGTCCAGACATGGATGAGGATGTGGGCGGAGCTCCAGGTCCAGACATGGATGAGGATGTGGGCGGAGCTCCAGGTCCAGACATGGATGAGGATGTGGGCGGAGCTCCAGGTCCAGACATGGATGAGGATGTGGGCGGAGCTCCAGGTCCAGACATGGATGAGGATGTGGGCGGAGCTCCAGGTCCAGACATGGATGAGGATGTGGGCGGAGCTCCAGGTCCAGACATGGATGAGGATGTGGGCGGAGCTCCAGGTCCAGACATGGATGAGGATGTGGGCGGAGCTCCAGGTCCAGACATGGATGAGGATGTGGGCGGAGCTCCAGGTCCAGACATGGATGAGGTGGGCGGAGCCCAGGTCCAGACATGGATGAGGATGTGGGCGGAGCGGAGCATGGATGAGGATGTGGGCGGAGCCCAGGTCCAGACCGGATGTGCCCAGGTCCAGACATGGATGAGGATGTGGGCGGAGCTCCAGGTCCAGACATGGATGAGGATGTGGGCGGAGCTCCAGGTCCAGACATGGATGAGGATGTGGGCGGAGCTCCAGGTTCAGACATGGATAAGGATGTGGGCGGAGCTCCAGAACAACGTCAGGGCGTCTCCTACGAGCAGGCACATCATATTTGTAGTCCTCACACAAGCATTCGGAATACCAGACTGACTAGGTCGACCTTCCTCAAGGTTTTGTTAGACTCAGTTAGACTTGATTATTCAGCAGTGTAACGAATAATGCTGAGCCTAATTTTACTTAGACTGACAACAATGGCCAGAAGAAGTGACAACAATGGACGGGAAAGACAACAATGGACAGAAGAAGTGACAACAATGGCCAGAAGAAGAGACAACAATAGACAGAAGAAGAGACAACAATGGACAGAAGAAGAGACAACAATGGACAGAAGAAGAGACAACAATGGACAGAAGAAGAGACAACAATGGACAGACGAAGAGACAATGGACAGAAGAAGAGACAACAATGGACAGAAGAAGAGACAGAAGAAGAGATGCAACAATGGTCAGAAGAAGTGACAACAATGGTCAGAAGAAGTGACAACAATGGTCAGAAGAAGTGACAACAATGGTCAGAAGAAGTGACAACAATGGTCAGAAGAAGAGACAACAATGGACAGAAGAAGTGACAACAATGGACAGAAGAAGAGACAACAATGGACAGAAGAAGAGACAACAATGGTCAGAAGAAGAGACAACAATGGACAGAAGAAGTGACAACAATGGACAGAAGAAGAGACAACAATGGACAGAAGAAGTGACAACAATCGTCAGAAGAAGAGACAACAATGGTCAGAAGAAGTGACAACAATGGACAGAAGAAGAGACAACAATGGACAGAAGAGGAGACAACAATCGTCAGAAGAAGAGACAATGGACAGAAGAAGACACAACAATCGTCAGAAGAAGAGACAACAATGGACAGAAGAAGTGACAATGGACAGAAGAGGAGACAACAATGGACAGACGAAGTGACAACAATCGTCAGAAGAAGAGACAACATTGGACAGAAGAAGTGACAACAATGGACAGAAGAAGTGACAACAATGGACAATAGATGACAGATTTCCATAACTCCTTGTTCACAATGGTGAAATAGTCCAGAAGCTATGCATCTTAACAGAGTGCTATAAGGTCACTCGGGGGGAACCATTGAATTCATTCACAGATTCTATTCCAATGGATACATCTCTACGTCAAAATCCAGAGAAGGATACGGGAAACTTTAATCCCAATCGAATTAACGGATGTGTAGTTTCTTGAGCCCGCAGGATGGGCCCCTTATTCGGCTTCATTTCTTTACCATTGTACAAATGTCAAGATATTACAGTTGGAGCTGGTTTATTTGTTTGTTTGTTCGTTGGTTTGTTTGTTTAAGTTGCCCCTTTCACAGTGAGGATCAGTGATAGATTTGGTCCATAGCAGCCACGATTGTGATAAGAAGCGATTAACGGGATCGGGTGGTTAGGTTCGGTTGATGCATGCATCGTATCCAATTTGATCGATGCTCATGATTACAATCACTGGATTGTCTGATCCAGTCTATCCTTTGCAGGCAGTGTCTGGACTATCGTTGAGTGTGGCTTTAAACAACAAACCAAAAACATTGAGTTTCATGCTTCTACAACTGGGTGGTGACGAGATAGGCGATTGGCTAAATATAGACTGACATGGAGGTGCATGTCTCAGTGCTTATCCGGTATAAAAGCACGCACACGAGCGTCCCCGTCCTATTCAGATAACTGCACCACCTTCAGCTTGAGCATCTAGCGATCGGCCGTATATATTAATTGTGAAAATGAAGAAGATATTGGTGATCGGTTGCGGTGCTAGCGGCTTATCGGCGATTAAAGCTTGCTTGGATGAAGGTCTGGAGCCTGTTTGTCTGGAACGCACAGACGATGAAGGGGGACTGTGGAATTACCAGGAGCAGATTCGTGATGATCAAGGCACAGTTATGAAGAGCACCATCATTAACACCAGCAAGGAGATGATGTCCTACAGCAATTACCCTATGCCAGCCGAATACCCAAACTTTACTCATAACTCTCAGGTATGTGCAGCCAGTTGAGGTCATTGTGTATCAGTGAATGCTTGGTTGGTGTGTTTTTTTGTTATTAGCATTATTATTATTATTTTAGCAAAAAAATCTGTAGCACCACCGCTTTGTTACGGGAAAAAAAGTTGAATTTAAGGGAAACCATAACCTGTTTAGTTAGATCATTGTGTATTAAGCGAATGTTTGGTTTATTTATTTATTTATTTATTTATTTATTTATTTATTTATTTATTTATTTATTTATTTATTTATTTATTTATTTATTTATTTATTTATTTATTTATTTATTTATTTATTTATTTATTTATTTATTTCAGTCAAAAAACCTGTATCATTACGGCTTTGACGAGGTGTATTTCAAAACTAGAATGAAAAAGATGAACTTAAGACAAACCTGTAAATTACGCTCAGGCTGGAGGGTCGCTATAACCAGTTTAGAACAGTACGTATTAAGTGAGTGTTTGGTTTGCGAAGCATTCATTTATCTGATTTCACTTATCCGAAAAACGAATGTAATTAGGAGTTCCGAATGCAAAAGAATAAAGCCAGGTACCTAATTGAAATTGAAAACGTATAAAAATGTTATTAAAATTAATTTATTTCTATTTACCAATCTCTCATCCCTGCAACTGTGTGAAAAAAATATTAGTCAATCTCTAAATCAGGTATTTTTGTGTAAACATGAATTTGTTCTGTGGAAACTGGAGTAAGAAATGAATTTGCAAATACAAGACCCCTACTTTATTGGAAATGTGAATTTGTACGTAACAAAACATATTTACTGATTTTCAAATGAAACATGTCTCAGATGTCTATAAGCTTTATATTTTCAATTTAAAAAAAATAAATTAAAAGCCTGATCTCAAGTAATATTGTCTCTATAGTATAATATTGTCATTTTTGGATATAGTATAGCCAACTTAAGATATGTTCAATTCATTGTCAAATCTATCATAAAATAAACTGTGAGACCTGTGTTCTTGTGCACCTCAACGTCTTTTCATATCATAATCTCTCAACCAATAACCCGACATGCGTACATTATGTGAAGCCCATGTTTGGTGATATTGCTGGAATACTGCTAAAAGCGGCGTAAATCTAAACTTGCTCACTCAGCCAATCACGAAAATGCAAGTGTAACACAGTTATGAAGGATATAGTAAATGTCACTGTGACATATTCTTCCCCATACGACCTTGACATATCTACAGATTGCTGACAAGTCGCTATCGTCACGAGCTTGCTGAAGGACTCTGGTCCTGTGCCCCCTATAGTCACCCCACTGCGTCTATGCAAGTCAACAGACTCCGATTGGCATACCGTATATACTTTAAAAAACGTGATGATATTTCAGAGACATTTTACACCCTGCGTTGTTTGAGTGAGTGAGTTCACTTTTATGCAGCTTCTATTCCAGAAATATTCCAGCAATATCACGGCGGGGGACACCAAAAATTAGTTTCACATATTGTACCCTTGTGGGGAATCGAACCCGGGTTCTCGGCGTGACGAGCGAACGCTTAACCACTAGGCTAACCCACCGCCCCGCGTCTTTTGGAGGTAGGCGTAAGCATTTTTATTCCGTTAAGCATTTTTAATTTCCATAAGTATGAAGATGTTTTATGATAACTTTTGTTCGTTTTCGTTTCAAAATCTCTTTGTTGAGTACATAAAGTAGAGAATATATCTATATACAAGTTTGGTCCTATTCAAGTCAGGAATAATATAACCATTCAAAATTGTCTGAAATTTACCATGGTTTTAAGTTATTTACTAATATGTAGATATGTTTATATAACATTTATATAATTCTATTTATTGGACTTCATGTTAGTCTATGCATATGAGAACATCTATGTTTAGAGGTTTTTACCCGGCGTCAGTTCAAGACAATCGTCTAATCAAGGATTTACGGTATCTGTTATCAGACCTTGAGCTATCATCTGACCTCACAGAGAGCTTTGATAGCAATGCGTTGTCCGTCTTTCATAACACCATTACATTTTAACCCTCCTGGAAAATCAAGGTGAAACTTTGTATAGACCACCCAAGCAATAATTTCCCTACCAAAATTTTTTACATAAACATCACATGGCGAACATATTGAAAATGTCATTTTCATTAAAGAATGAATATTGATAAAATATTGCTGAATAATGAATAAATTAAATAGTGCTGAAAAATATATTATACAGAGGTCGTGGAAGGGGGGTTACGTTCGCCTACTATTTATGCATTTTTATTGTACCCCAGTTGATTGCACCAATGCTCATGATGTTAATCACTGGATTGTCTGGTCAAGACTCTATGGTATTCGGACGTAATATATGTGGAACACCGCTGTACATAGAGGGCAATAGTGCATATTCGGGGTTATGCAATAGAAGACACGAAATGCTAGGTCAAAGAGCTAAATATAGAATATCACGCACATAGACCTTTATCCCCAATTAGCACTAATTACAACGTCGATGCTAATGGCGTCACGTCTTCAACAGCCCATGCTTGTCGTAATTGGCGACTAACGGGATCGGGTGGTCAGGCTCACTGACTTGGTTGAGACATATCCCAATTGTGTAGATCGATGCTCATGATGTTAATCACTGGATTGTCTGGTCCAGACTCGATTTCTACACACCGCCGCTATATCGTTGGAAAATTGCTTTTGCTGTCAAACAAACAAATAATTACAACGTCCAGATCTGTACAGAAAATACCCACAAGGTCGTGAAACATGGTTCTTCTAAACTTGTTGCAGGTTATGGAGTACCTGAGGAGTTACAAGACGAACTTCGGCCTCCAAAACTACATACAGTACAACAAGGAAGCCATGTTGGTCAAGCAGGCCAGCGACTTCGAGTCAACAGGAAGATGGGATGTGAAAATTGTTGATCATAAAACCGGAAGTGAAGAGCAGGTGCAGTTTGACGGGGTTCTGGTGTGTACTGGGCACCATGCCAAGAAAAACATACCCGAGTTCCCAGGACAGGATGTCTTTAAAGGAAAGGTCATGCACTCACAAGACTTCAAGCATGCGAAAGGTTGGGAGGACAAAAATGCGGTGGTCATCGGAATTGGAAACTCGGGAGTCGACACAGCAAATGAATTGTCTCGTGTGGCCAACAAGGTGACCAATAATAGTTAGATTTATCGACGGACAGTGAAATGCCGAAGAGGAACACTTTTTATGAATAGACAACATCTTCATTACAATAGATGCGACATTTCGGTGTAGTTCATCATGTGCTTGATAACGCTTGATCTACATATACAGAAGTTGTCTCTCCATAAAAAGTGTTCCTCTTCATCACAACAGCTTCATCACAAATGCCACTTAAAGATGTCAGTGAATTCGGACTGTAAGGTTACGTAATTGTGCTTCATAGGTGAGGTGAGGTGAAACTGGGTTTAACGTCGTGCTTGAGAATATTTCTCTCATATGACGACGTGCATGTGTGTGTATATGTATGTGCGGCTGCTTGTACTAGCCCAGACTTTAGCTGGTTTTATAGTGCTAGCTCACCGAGATATCATGCCGCAGTGAAGCATGAATACCCCACTCAGACACATTATACTGACTCCGAGCCGACCAGTCCTTGTTGTACCCATTAATGCCGAGCGCCAGGCAGGGACCAACAAGTACCATATTTTAACGTCTTTTGGTATGACGCGGTCGGGGATCGAACCCGCGACCTTCCGCTCTCCGGGCGGACGCTCTAACCACTACACCACGGAGGCGGCCTTGTGCTTCATAAGGTTCCCTTGTACGTAAGTACCCTAAAGGCCAAAAGAAACGTTACCCTCCTTCCTTAATGACAGAGGTACTGGCGTTGTGATGCGTGGACGTCCACTTCTTGGTCTGTCTACGGTGACTCCAGTCTGTCTGAAGCCCCGAGTAAGTCTTATAACCGTGATACGGTGGCAACAGCATTGTATGTCGACCCCATCTGCACCATCCCAATGGCTCGTTCTCTCTCTTCAGCTGTTATTCGTGGCATATTTCTTGTACTTGTGTATCATATCATCTTTTCTAGGCTCTCTTTATACCCTATAGAATCATTCTACATGTAAAATGGATGCACATACTGCTTGAATATTGCTGCGTTTTGGCGATTGATATTGCTATGTGTAAACAGAAAATGGAAACATGTTACTGTGCAATCAACAATGTTAACAAAGATCATTGTAGAAGTTCCTAAACATTTGTTCACAATATCAAGGACACGTTTTACTTGTTTTCACTAATGAAAATCTGCAGAAAATGTTTTAAAAGTCTGGAATCATAGGAATGATTATTTTACAATTTTACACACTCTACAGCAGTTTTTTCTTGTTTTAATGGTTGATAAATGGTGACTTTAAATGGTTTATCTTTGTCCCAAAGCAGAATTTTATTTCAACCTTTCTTTTGGACATCTAAATTACTGTTATTGGTTTATTTCGGCTATGACGACAATAGGACAATTTAATTCAGCTGAAAAAGATGCATTTCACCTAAATATGAATGCATTTGAGACTTTTTTTTCGTGATTTGCATAAAGTTGTGTTGTTAAGCTTTCTTGTAAACTAATACCTTCTAACATATCTTTGATAGTTTTTGGCTAGCAGTATAAAACCAGCTTTAGTCTGGGCTAGTACAAGCAGCCGCACATACACATACACACGCATGCACGTCGTCATATGAGCGAAATATTCTCAAGCACGACGTAAAACCCAATTTCACCTCACCTCACCTCACCTCACCTTGATTGTTTTTAAGTAATTCATAAAGGTAGGAGGGTAACGTTTCTTTTGGCGTCTAGTGTATGTATGGATACGTCGGTTAAACTGTCCACTGATGACACATGCTTTTCCTTAACCAATTCCGGTGTCTTAGCAAGTTACTATATGTGTACGTTGTCAAGCGGACAACAAGTTATGGCACTGGCCGGCAAGAATTAATAACTAATAATAGTTAATGGGGAAAACCTGTTTTCTTTCTTTTCGGCCCTACACATCTAAGACTTTTGAAAGGAAAATAAATCTAATGCGATTGATAAAATCCTGCTTTCAAAGCAAGTTAGTATTTTACCTATTCTTTTTGGAAGTTGTAAAAGATATTGTTGTAAGAGATTGCTCAGAATTAATTTGTATCCAGCAGTTCCAAACTTCGGACTATTTTACTCAGTGTTAGGTATACGATTATAGATTCAAAACTTAACATGTAGTCATACATTTAGTTGGCAGCCATCTGAACATGTTCCATTTGAAAATATTTCCAGTTTTGTTATTTATTGTCTGTCTCTAAAAGTGGCTTTATCATACGTCATTGTGCGATGCGTGTTTCCTGCTCTACCTGAAAGATGGCTGCCATGGATCGTCCAATATCGGTGTCAGGGCCATGCCTGTTGGTGATTTTACGAGCGTTTCGAGCTAATCCTGCCATCGATGTGTGTTATAAATACTGTTCGCTCTACCCCAATGTATAGTGTTATATAGTACACTTATGCCCTGAACTATTATAGTTAGTACGAGGACGCACTAATATAGTTAGAGCGAACTGTATTTCTTTTCTAAGATGCCAAATGTAATACACGCTGGCGGATTAATATAGGCCGTGCAAAACAAACAGAAAAGCGATGGTGTCGGTGGCCTAAATTATGGTCATTTAACAAACGCTCAGGGCTAACTGGTGGGCTCTTCCAGTGACGTGTCTGCCTCCCTACCTACGACGCTGGCGTTGCCGTGAAAACAAAGTGAAAAACAGTTAAATTAACTTCCTCGCTCAATATCTTTTCTATATTATTTTAGTTACGTCTGTAAACCACATCGTAAACCGCATTGGACAATGTGAAAGTCGCACTTCTACTACCAACGAAAGTTTAGAAAATTAACTCCAGGTGAAGTTGATTAGTCACGTGACATTCCACAGATGCATTGTGGGACTGTGGACACACAGGTCCTCGTGTCTTTGCAAGGATTAAAGATGTTAAGAAAAATATAAAAAATGTGAGATGACACCACCCCCCACCCCACCCCACACGACTCGAAATGCTTCACAGTACAATACATTATGACAAGGCCGGACATTTCGGTGTACCCTACCCGCCTGCTTTGCCGATCGCTACGCTACCATCGCATACAATCGATTAAAAGTTCATGTAAACATAATCATGGATGATTGGCCTATCGAGCACCACTCATGGCACCTACCAATACTTTATTGTTATTTCTGAAAGTCGATTGAAACCCGATTTTGACCCTCAACTAAACGATCTTGACACTAATGGATGACGATATGTCCGCACAAAACGGGGTGTGTAGTCGAAGCAAGCCCTCTGATTGGTCAACGCTTGCAAATCTGCACATTCTTTATAAATTCGCGGAAATAAACCAAGAAACTGGGTGTTAGGGAGTAGGAGAATGTACGAGGCAATGACTGGATCGTGACGTCGAAGGGTACGTTTCATAACGAGGGGGGCTGACGAGAATGGCGAAGAGACGTCAGTACCAAAAGTGTACTTTGTCGCCTTTGATCTTTGAGCGCAGTATCTTAGAAAGATGTATAACACGCACGCACACACACAGAGAGAGAGAGAGACAGACACAGAGAGAGAGAGCGAGACTTGATGTGTCGGCTGGATAATACACGACATTATATTGGTGATTTTGTTGCAGGTGTTTATAAGCACCAGGCGAGGTACGTGGCTTATCCCGAGAAACATGGACAATGGACTTCCGTTTGACATCGCCAGAACTACCCGGATGACCAACTGGGTTAACCAGAACATGCCAATTGCTATATCCACTGGCTTGGTGGAAAACGAGCTTAACAAGATGTACGATCACAAGCTTTACCGCCTCATGCCCACCCACAGGTTCAACGCCCAACACCCTAACATGAGCAGCGATCTGCCAATGAACATATCGACAGGAAGGGTCGTCATCAAAGGGGACATTAAGAGGCTCACGAAAACAGGAGTCGAATTTAAGGATGGATCCTCTGTGGACGATATTAGCCTCATCGTCTTGGCAACGGGTTACAAAATTGGATTTCCCTTCATTGACAAGTCTGTGATTGACGTAAAGGACAATAAGGTGGAACTGTTCAAGTATATGTACCCACCTGATCAAAAGAAGCATACACTGGCCATCATTGGCGGAATTCAACCGCTGGGTGCCGTCATGCCGATATCAGAACTTCAATGTCGCCTAGCAACGAGGGTCATTAAGGTAAATATCACGCAGTTGGTTCATTTTCACAGAACATCTGATATAGCAGTATTGCGTGACTAGTTGCCTTGATAATACGGCAACAAGTCAAGTAAAAACAAATCACGTGTTTTGTGGTCACGTCTTCTCCTGACCATGCCTGACCTTGGTTGGGGGCCTAACAAATCCGTTACTAATTTGGTAACAATACGCTACCACTAATAGGAATATTAAACTGAACAGACCGAAAAGCACATTCAGTTAATGGGTTTGACAGTTTAAGAATATCTTATACATTTTCATTAAAAAGTGTTACATATATCTTCATTTTATTTTGATAAAAATAACTGATAAAAAAGTTTTAATAATAACAACGACAAGATTTTAAAAATAACTCATAAGATGAAACGCTCATACACTTGGTATTCGAGTATGAGAGATTGTTGTTAATTGACTCGAATGTGTTTTTCGAAAATGAGAAAAAAACAAGAAATGGTTGCATCATAGTCATATACATGTATTACGTTTGTAGTATTTCGGCGTACCCGTGAAGATCCAGGTTAGAACTGATCTTCAGCAACCCATGCTTGTCGTAAGAGACGGCTAACGGGATCGGGTGGTCAGGCTCGCTGACTTGGTTGACACATGTCATCGTATCCCAATTGCGTAGATCGATTATCATGATGTTGATCACAGGATTGTCCGGTTCAGACTCGATTATTTACAGACCGCCGTTATACAACTGGAATATTGCTGAGTGCGGCGTTAAACAACAAACAACTCTTTTGGCAACTTTTTCAGCCTAGTAACTTATAGATAAGTTTGTATTATGGGGGGCAAACAATTTCCAAGTATATACTCTGTATACCATGCAGTTAATATGGAAATTTATTGGTCAGTGACGTCATTGCCATTCCTCTCCTCAGGGCCTGAAAACCCTGCCATCCAGGGAAGATATGTGGAGCGACATCCGCAAGAAACAGGATGCGATGAGTTCACGTTACGTCAACAGCCAACGTCACACTATCCAAGTAGACTACGTCGACTTCATGGACCAAATAGCGGAATTAGTTGGCTGCAAACCAAACCTGTGTAAGTAGCCATGTTTCAAGATATACTGAGGCGACGTGTGTAAGACTATAGGCTGGGCCCAGTTTTACGATGCTTTGCCCAATATTCCAGCAATATCACGGCGAGGGACACCAGAAATGGGCTTCACGCATAGTACTCATGTGGAGAATCGATGACGAGCTTGGCGTGACGAGCGAACGCTTTAACTATTAGGCTACCCCACCAGCCATCACACGTCATGATTCAAACACCTGATAAGCTGTATTATGAGTGTATTGTATAGTGCCCTTTAATATAAACACACGTGCCAACACTCAAGCATTTTGCTTGAGACTCTCCGCCCGGTGAGCGGAAGGTCGCGGGTTCGATCCCCGACCGCGTCATACCAAAAGACGTTAAAATATGGTACTTTTGGTCCCTGCCTGGCGCTCGGCATTAATGGGTACAACAAGGACTGGTCGGCTCGGAGTCAGTATAATGTGTCTGAGTGGGGTATTCATGCTTCACTGCGGCATGGTATCTCAGTGGGCTAGCACTATAAAACCAGCTTCAGTTTGGGCTAGTACAAGCAGCCGCACATACACATACACACGCATGCACGTCGTCATATGAGCGAAATATTCTCAAGCACGACGTTAAACCCAATTTCACCTGACCTCACCTTGCTTGAGACTCATTCATTTACTACTCATGTCACGCTCTCACTCTCTGATAAATCTCACGCCAAACTAAGTTCATATGAAAACTGAAAAAGAAAAATCCGTAACAAATCACACAAATAGTTTTCAGTGACTTTTCGGAGAATTTGTAATTTTGCGTTGGCTTCAAGGGGGACATGGGGAACCGCCCGGGGAGGGCAGCCATTGGACCCCGGCATCCCAAACTTGGTTCTCCCTAGTTTGGACACTTGGTGACATTCTCTGTATCTCTGGAGGAAATATTAGTGCCTACGCCGTAATAAAATTTTACAAATGTTCACTGTTACTGTTTGTATCATGTGACGTTAAAACAATAACTTTCGACGTCACATCTATTATGAAGGTAATAACAATGACGTCACAAACGTTAAATCACGTGTGCTTCCTAAACTTGGACGTTGCACGAGACGGGGCCCAGCTTAGTGTGCTAAGCTTCCATGCTTTCACCCAGTGATGGTGTATCATGAGACTCTTGGTAATAGAGTAGAGCGCTTCATATGTCGTTTTCAAAAATCCGCTTATTAACTCCACGAATAAAAATTCCGTCGTTTTGTAAACTCCTGAAGTAATCTTTGTCCGATGTCATCCTTTTTTCTAGGGTGGTACCTGTTAACCGACCCGGTGTTCGCATTCAAGTGTTACTTTGGCCCGTGTACACCTTACCAGTACCGTCTTCAAGGGCCCGGCAAATGGGCCGGGGCCAAGGAAGCCTGTGAGAAGACAATGGATCGTGTAAGGAAACCATTCGAAACGAGGCCACTTCCGGAAGGGCTAGACAGCGGCGCCAGCTGGACATCCGCCAAAATGCTATGTCTCTACGTCGTGCTATTCGCGTTTCTGTTGAAATTCTTCTTGTTGTAAATATGCCCCAGGAATTGCAGGGCCCGGCAAATGGGACGGGGCCAAGGAAGCCAGTGAGAAGACAATGGATCGTGTCAGGAAACCATTCGATACGAGTCCACTTCCGGAAGGGCTAGACAGCGGCGCCAGCTGGACATCCGCCAAAATGCTATGTCTCTACGTCGTGCTATTCGCGTTTCTGTTGAAATTCTTCTTGTTGTAAATATGCCCCAGGAATTGCACGTTTCCTACTGTTAAAGTTTTTCATGCTTTGAATTTGTAATGACCTTGGAGTCTTCACCGTATTTTGGAATACTGAAACAATGTCGCAGAGCAATGGAAGTGACTTTTGTTAAACGCTGAGGTAAAAAATCACCAACCTTTACACACCAAACTCAGGTTTAATCGCGGCCAGTTACACCACGCTGAGTGGATAGCCTGTAACAAACAAATCAGGTCAAGTTCAAGGTCGGTTTGGCTGCGGAGAGAAGTTGGATGGGTGACTGTTTTCGGCAGCTGGACACCTCAGTTTCTATGGGTTCAGTTCTACCCCACACCGAAGCATTTGCAGCTCAGGTGGTGTCGCTTTAGGCAAATGACTGTTTGAAAATCTACCTCTTAAACCAGTAGTAGAATAGGTACCGGAAGGAGAAGATGTTAATGTGATCGTTAACCTTCTAGCGCAGCTTAGTATACACCTCAGGGAGCTGAGAATGAGTGAATGAGTATGGTTTTACGCCGCTTTTAGCAATATTCCAGCAACATCACGACGGGGACACCAGAAATGGGCTTCACACGTTGTGCCCATGTGGAGAATCGACCCGGGCCTTCGGCGTGACGAGCGAACGCTTTAACCACTAGGCTACCCCACCTCTCTGCTGACAATTTGAATCCGTTAACCAGGGTAATAATGTTGGAGCATTCTTCGAAGTATCAGCCTTGTACAGTACCACTGTTCACGTTATTTGTATTATTAATGTTAATATTGTTATTATTGTCGTTGTTGATGTTGTTGTTGATGCTGGGAACAATGTACATGGTGTTGCATTACCAAAACGGTTGTTCACCGGCAACATTACACAATCTACACGCTCAAAAAAAATAATAGAAACGCTGGCTGAATTCAAATATATGTGATTTTTCATTCAGTTCATATAATCATGTATCAGATTGCCAAATGCACCATTTCGTTAAGATTTAATGTTTGATTATCTTAATATTGTTATTTAGATTTCTGTCAACAATAAACTGATCTTTACCCAGAGGGGTATTGTGTCAAAGTAAAATGTCTGATTTTGATGAGATCAGTTATTTGTCATTGTAATAATGTAATGGCGATGGGGGATAGTGATCACTCTTGTAGTGTAGTGTCATTTGCCCAGTGCCGATGGACATAAGTGTTTTATTACTCAGATATAAATTAGAGTTTGTGAAAGAGCTTAGTAACTATACCTCGTGATGCGCCTTATATGACCTATATTTATATATTTGAACACCTTATATGTTTTGTTACTGATTTAAGAATAAAACAACATTGGTAAAGAGCCTTGTGTTGTCTTCACACACAGTTGAATGTTGTTTTACGCCACACTCCGAAATACAGACCCGTGCCAGTTATATTCGGACACTTGAGGTCATTTCCATAGACGTACATGTTATTTCAGTGTAGCATAAATAATTTTCATGAGGTGGGTTTAGGATAGATCTTTGTAAAATTTGACAGGCAAATTTAAAATCATCTTTGCTCTGCGCACATTATTTCAGTTCAATTTTCCGACCACTATTTAACTAATGACATCACATTTATCAACTTACCTATAAACATAGAGATTTTTTCTGGGTTACATCTTCTTTTTATTCTCGAGTACAACGTTTCTGGGCTGAGTTTTACCTGATGATGGGGCCAGAACAAGCCCTGAAACGTTGTACTCGAGAATAAAAAGAAGATGTAACCCAGAAAAAATCTCTATGTTCATCAAATATCATCTTCTAAAATGCCAATCAAGCATCTAACTTACCTATAGTTCCACAATGCACAATCCCATAGGCCGCCATGTTAAAGGAGTTCACGGCAATGTACATATGTTGATTAAATTGTTGCCATTCGATAAATAATCAACGGAAAATTAAACAGAAATTATGTGATTGTAGGTAAGAAGATTCCTCACAAATGTGCAAAATTTGACTTGGATCATACGAAAAATAAATTCATGAAAATTATTTATGCTACACTAAATTAACATGTAAGTCTATGGAAGTTACGCCATGTGTCCGAATATAACTGGCACGGGTCTGTACATCTAACTGCCTATGAAAAACGAGTCTGGAACTGGCAAACCAATTTGTTTTGTTTTGGTTTACATCCAGAGTATAAGTGTAGTTACGTGGAATACGCTGACACGCATCATCCAGGTCTGGCCGTTAGTTGCCTTTTACAACAAGCTTAGGTTGCTGAAGACAAATCTTTACTGGTCCACTGACATTTTGATGAAATGTACACTCATGTGCCATATTAAAGTTCACAAAATGGCCGCTGTGATTCTTGCCAGCAGTAGCTGGTTCTTTTAAATGAAAGTTTATTTCATCTTAGCAATATTTATAGGGTATGAAATTTTAGGGGGTACAAATTTGACTTAACACCTGTTACATTTTGTAAACAAAGGGGGAATAACTTTCAAGTGCTTAGTATGACGTCTGCTCAAAGTGTCATGGCACCTAGAGGGAAAGATCTTACTGCCTATCAGAAAAAGCTCATATTAAGTTTGAATTCAGAAGGCAAGAGTGGAAGTGAAATAGGTAAAATAACTGGAATTAATAGGTTTACTGTCTGTAAATTTCTGAAGAGTTTTCTCAAGGAGGAAATATAGAAAATTGTCAGCGAAAATCAACTGGCAGAGATACTAGGGCTTTATTGAAGATTGTTAAGTGTAATAGGAGGAAGTCTCTACAGGATATATCTTCACTTTGGAACCAGACATCTCAAGTAAGACTATCCAGGAGGACAATACAAAGGCGTCTTCATGAAAATGGTTTTCATAGAAGAGTTGTGAAGAAGAAAACCACCATATCCTCTCAAAACAGGTTCAAGAGAAGAGCCTTTGCCAGAACACATTTGAGATGGAATGTAAATAGAGATTGGTCTAGGGTAATATTTTCAGATGAGACTCAAGTTGTTGTAGGAAAAGATCAGAAAGTTTATGTTTGGAGGACTAATGAAGAAAAGTGGAAACCCCGGTGTCTTGGTGTGTACAGGGATAAAAATGCCCCACGTCTCAGTGTGATGTTCTGGGGTGTATTTGGTTTGAAGGTGTTGGAACCCTTGTCGATGTAGATGTAGATGTAGATGGTCATATCAACTCTACAAAGTATAGAGATATACTGGACAGCAACCTTTGGCCGGTAATAGCCAAAGTTCCAGCATATCGGGGCTATATATTTCAAGAGGACAATTGTCCTGTCCATGTTTCTAGACAGACAATTCAGTGGAAACGTGACAATGACATTCAGACAATGAATTGGCCTCCTCAGTCCCCAGACTGTAACATCATTGAAAATGTATGGAGAACTCTGAAAATCAGACTACAAAGACAGTTACATGAAATAAAAACCAAGCAGGATCTGATAGATCACGTTCAAGGTATCTGGACATCACTTACTCCAGAGTACATAAAATCACTGTATTCTACTCTACCTAAGCGAATGAGGGCTGTACTTGCAGTAAATGGCTGTATTACTAAATACTGAAAATATCAGGTAAGTGGCTTCAGGCATTATTTTGAAATCAAACTTTATTTACATCTCATCACAGTTAGCGAAAATTACATGGCGGCCATTTTGTGAACTTTAATCTAAAGGGCTACCATGTCTTGACTATCATCAGAAACAGACTCCATTTGTAAAGGTAAGGTCGAAGAGACCATGAAAATCAGAAAACGAACAAAAGAGCACTCACACACTTAGGGGCGGTTGGGTAGCCTAGTGGTGAAAGCGTTCGCTCGTCACGCCGAGGACCCGGGGTCGATTCCCCCACATGGGTACAATGTGTCAAGCCCATTTCTGGTGTCCCCCGCCGTGATGTTGCTGGAATATTGCTAAAAGCGGCGTAAAACCATACTCACTTACACGCACACAAGCATACACACGCAAGCAGGTTCAGTGTGTCCAGTTCACCATGGCGGACATTTCGTGTACATGTTTCATGAAGAGGCAGAATTGAGTTTCCGCTCAATATCACAATGTATTGTGTACATATTAAGTTTGTTTTGGAATACAATGTGTGAGAACTGCAACGAGGTGTCTTGCATTCCAAGATCGCCCTCACGTTGTGTTCTGTCACGGGTCTGAACACCAGGGAGTAAGGTTGTTACGACGTAAATTGTAATAAAAACGCAAATTGTAATACTTGCAGCAAATTGTAATAAACTTGACGTAAATTGTAATAAAAACGTAAATTGTAATAAAATTGACGTAAATTGGAAAGTGATTAAAACTGTTATTACAATTTACGTAAATATTTATTACACTTTACCGCAACTAAAATTATTACAATTTACGTCAATTTTTATTACAATTTACGTCAAGTTTATTACAATTTGCGTTTTTATTACAATTTACGTCGTAACAAATGTGTTACTCAGCGTAAATAGTAGGGATGAGTATTGAGGGGAAACAACTATTGGATAGCGACAATCTATTGCAACATGCTTTTGCTATAGCGATAGTCAATTGCGACCAACTATTGCAATACATTTTTCTCCTAGAATTGTTTCATTTGAAGTCATTTCCCAAATGAATGTATAGTGTACATGAAATGAAAACAAGTTAAAGTAGTTTCAGTCTCTTTTAATAACTGACAAGAAACTTGAAACCCAGATCAAGTAAACAGTTAAAACAAAAACTCCATGAAGCTGAAAGTCAATACAGCCAACAATACAAAATACGAAACAACATAAATATTTATTAATGAAAGTCAATTACTAAACTATCGATAGTCACGCATGCTATCGATGCATCAATAGTTTTTCGTTCCTACCATTGATTAATTGCTATCGGAGATTCGACAATTGCAATCCATCGATAGTTCGATGCATCGTTCTAAGATGCCTAGCGGTTAGAACAATCGAAAAAAGAAACATTCTACCATGACTTCAGTAAACACTGGATTGTGATTGGTTAATTAAAGTCATTCAGAGGTATATAATCACGTTATACAGGTCTCTGTTTTCCGTGCGCAATCATACATGGTTTACGGTAATGCACTATTTTTGTCTGCCCACTAACATGGCGGACACCGAACAACCTACCGATGCATCGATAAATTACGGCGATTTTACTGTCGGAAATTACACATATGTCTTTAAAGATGGATTTAGCGATGACGGGCTCGACTCACTACTTGCGTAAATCACAGCAATAGGTGTTTATACATACAAAAGTACTTCGAAAGCATGGAAACAAATATTCAGTCGAACAAGATCAAAACATCATCTGCTTTCCGAATAAAAATTCAGCAAAAACAAATATGTTTACGTTGATTCTATGTTATATCAGAATAGATCCAGCAATAGACTGCTAGCAAAATTTCCGTGTTAAATTTATTATCAGCTTTCGTCAACGATATCGCCACTGATCTTGATCCGGTAACGGAGGATGCATTAACATCGAACGCCGAAGAAATTTTAGATTCTAATGCCTTTCCGTCCACATAAATAAACAGTTGGGTTATCACTTCAAACAAAATGATATTTTGAAATTTGTACTGTTTCAAATTTAGCGGTAGTAAAACATAATTAGATCTACAGAATCTGCAAACCGTTCTGTTTAGCCCAACATATTTTTTCTAAATGTATAATATCGTTGAAAAGTTATTTAGCTTAGTCATGATCCCTCTTATCCATTACACTGCTTGATCTAAAGTAGTCTATTAAAGTATAATTAATTACCTTACCGTGTTTATGCCAGAGGTACACCCTCGTGTCCTGATCCATCCTTTCGGAAATATCACCACAAATCTGGCTCTTTGTCAACAGACTCGCGAACATGCCAGCCAATCCGATTCAATTTGAATTCACTACACTTTGAAGCCACTAGGTCACAAAACACTTTCCAAAATGTAGAAAATAATATCCGTAGAATCGAATTTGAGCACAAAGTACACACATGAGTGTGTAAGAGTCACCACAGCTGTCGCACGCAGACGTAGAGGTGCGTGAAATCGTCAAGTTGACAGGGCGCAAAATTCAACAGTATCTAAATTCGGTACAACACGGACTTCTCGTTACAGCAAAAGCGCCCCTACTCTTAAATTTTGTACCAGTACCAGTAATTAGATATCAAAGACTATCTCAGTCATACAATCAGGTTAACCTTGCGCAAACTGTCAGTGGCTCTCCTGTCGCATCTTTCCAAATGTAAACAATGACTTCGAGAAAAGGTCAAGGCCATGAGGTTGCTGCCACTATTCTGGTGGGGAAAGGGTCTACGGTGGAATTTTCAAATGTGAACCAAGCTTTTGAAACTTATTTGATATATGTTTTCCAACTTA